TCATCCCCACCTTCATGAAGCGCAGCTTGCTGGTGGAGCTGAGCTGCAGCCCGTGCACGTGCAGCACGAACTCCAGGTTGTAGTCGCAGTACGTGGACGTGTCCACGTCCCTGCGGGGCGGCGGAGGGGACACGGGGACACTGGGGACGTGCTCACGGGACACTCACGGGATCCCAGGACACTCGCGGGATCCCGGGACGCTTGCAGGATGCTCACAGGATCCCGGGACGCTTGTGGAATCCTGGGATGCTCATGGGACACTCGTGGGATCCCAGGACGCCTGTGGTATCCCGGGATGCTCACGGGACACTCACGGGATCCCAGGACACTCGCGGGATCCCGGGACGCTTGCAGGATGCTCACAGGATCCCGGGACGCTTGTGGAATCCTGGGATGCTCATGGGACACTCGTGGGATCCCAGGACGCCTGTGGTATCCCGGGATGCTCACGGGACACTCACGGGATCCCAGGACACTCGCGGGATCCCGGGACGCTTGCAGGATGCTCACAGGATCCCGGGACGCTTGTGGAATCCTGGGATGCTCATGGGACACTCGTGGGATCCCAGGACGCCTGTGGTATCCCGGGATGCTCACGGGACACTCACGGGATCCCAGGACACTCGCGGGATCCCGGGACGCTTGCAGGATGCTCACAGGATCCCGGGACGCTTGTGGAATCCTGGGATGCTCATGGGACACTCGTGGGATCCCAGGACGCCTGTGGTATCCCGGGATGCTCACGGGACACTCACGGGATCCCAGGACACTCGCGGGATCCCGGGACGCTTGCAGGATGCTCACAGGATCCCGGGACGCTTGTGGAATCCTGGGATGCTCATGGGACACTCGTGGGATCCCAGGACGCCTGTGGTATCCCGGGATGCTCACGGGACACTCACGGGATCCCAGGACACTCGCGGGATCCCGGGACGCTTGCAGGATGCTCACAGGATCCCGGGACGCTTGTGGAATCCTGGGATGCTCATGGGACACTCGTGGGATCCCAGGACGCCTGTGGTATCCCGGGATGCTCACGGGACACTCACGGGATCCCAGGACACTCGCGGGATCCCGGGACGCTTGCAGGATGCTCACAGGATCCCGGGACGCTTGTGGAATCCTGGGATGCTCATGGGACACTCGTGGGATCCCAGGACGCCTGTGGTATCCCGGGATGCTCACGGGACACTCACGGGATCCCAGGACACTCGCGGGATCCCGGGACGCTTGCAGGATGCTCACAGGATCCCGGGACGCTTGTGGAATCCTGGGATGCTCATGGGACACTCGTGGGATCCCAGGACGCCTGTGGTATCCCGGGATGCTCACGGGACACTCACGGGATCCCAGGACACTCGCGGGATCCCGGGACGCTCATGGGACACTCATGGGATCCCGGGACACTCGCAGGATGCTCACAGGATCCCGGGACGCTCGTGGGATCCTGGGACGCTCATGGGACACTCACAGGATCCTGGGACACTCGTGGGATCCTGGGATGCTCATGGGACACTTGTGGGATCCCGGGATGCTTGCGGGACATTCATGGTATCCCGGGACACTCATGGTATCCCGGGATGCTCGCTGGATGCTCACAGGATCCCGAGATGCTCATGGGACACTCATGGGATCCCAGGACACTTGTGGGATCCTGGGATGCTCACGGGACACTCACGGGATCCCAGAATGCTCGCAGGATCCCAGGATGCTCATGGGACACTCATGGGATCCCGGGACGCTCGCAGGATGCTCACAGGATCCCGGGACGCTCATGGGACCCTCACGGGATCCCAGGACACTTGTGGGCTCCAGGGATGCTCACGGGATGTTCACAGGATCCCAGGACACTCGTGGGATCCCGGGACGCTCCCGGGATGCCCGCGGTATCCCGGGACGCTCCCGGCGGTACCTGGCGTTGTCGATGTTGTACTTCCAGACGTCCTCGGGCCGGGAGCGCACGATGGTGTCCTCGGAGTGCGCGGAGCCGCCGATCACCTTGAGCGTGTACCTGGGAACCGGCACCGTGCCGGGACGTCCCCGCGCGGCCACCACC